GATAAATAGTGCTTTTAAAATAAAATACTTTTTAAATTTTATCAAAGCAACCTTTAAGTTTCAAAATTAATTCATTTCATTGCATAAAAAAAAGAGGAGGAAATCATTTCTTCATAAGAGATTATGAGTTTTTTAAATTTGAAGTAATGATTTGTATTTTATTCGAAATAAGAGGATATTTTTGTGTAAGTATTAGAAATAATAGCTTGGTTTAATTTTATTTAACTTATAATTTAACTTAACATTTGGCTTTGTATTTGAATCCTATAAAGTGTTTATGAATTTATAAATATTTTTTTTATTTGCACTCCTAACTACATTAAATTGCAAAAAAAAAAAAAAAAGATGGGAGATGACAAATATATACTAATTTATAATTGTCTCTTGAATTTATTTTTTAAAAAAGTCAATCATACACTTCCAAATGATATTTTAGAAACTATTTATTTTTTGAAAATAGAACAAATTAGTATTGATTATATAAAGTTTCGATTTAAAAATATCTCAAAATTTAAAAATATATCTTATTAAATATATAATAAAATAGATTTTTAAATTTTAAATTAAATTTTAATTAAATAAAATGATGTTATTTAAAATTGAAATTCTATTTTTTTAGAGTCGAAGCTAATATAAACTAATTTCAATAGAATTAAAATTGATATGTATTAATTTCATATTTTAAAAATCGAATGTTGAATCAAATAATATGATCATTTTAAAGTTGATCTAATATTTATAATAATTCAATTAATAAATTATATTTTTAATATATATTTAATAAAATTACATTTTATACAATTTGTTGGGGTGTATTGATGATGTAGGTTGATGAGTTAGTGACGGTGATGATGTGGAGGACTAACCAAGATGACACTCGAGAAAAATGAGGAAGGCCCTTTTGGCAGCACTCATCTCACATGCAAAGGGCTACGTGTTACGGGCCATCTTGTTCTGCTCGATGATAATAACCTCCAGCAAACTTTCTGCAAAGTTAGAAATATAATTCTTTCAGCCAAGCCTGTAGCATTGGGCAGCGATGACGGAGTTTCGGGAACTCAAGATGATTACACAACTATCAATGAGAATGGGAAGAAGATGTGTATCGTTGAATGGGTGGCCAGGATGGAAAACATGTGAGTCTCAAAAATTACAACTTAAGAATCACATTTATACATATAATATGGTGACATAATAGTAACAACAATAAATGTGACCTTTATCATCTCTAGTAAATATCTTCACTTTATAATAAACAGTCCTCATGTTGAGGATGAAAAAATACAACAACTCCAATCTTGAAACCCTTTCAAGAAACGAAAAGGGATGCACTTGAAAGTGGTGATGGGAGAAGGAAGGATGACCGCTTGGGAGCTTGCATGTGGAGTACTTGATCTTGTTTTTTATGCTACCTTTGCAACTTGATCCTTTGATGCTCAAGAAAAACTACCCAAAAACTGAAATTACAGCATGTTGCCTCCCAGCCATGCTATTTTGCAGGTTTGGAAAATATTATGCAGTGCTAGAAGTGTAGAAAATGTGGAGAGAAATGGTTATTTCTGGGTGTTTTTAGTGTGTAGGGTGGTAGGTTGAGGATGATATATTTTTCAGAGGAAGAAGGGAAGTCTAGAACATGAAAGGGAGATTGAAGTTGTGAGAAAATTTTTTTTTTGCTCTACATGTGTATCTCTTGGAAAATGAAGAAAAAATAATATATATATATATATATATCTGTAGTGACATTGCTGTGATTTCCAGTTGATGGCTCAGAGATGTATAGGTGGGTTTAGGTGAGCTGTCAAATTTTTAGTGGCTCTAGGCACTGCTAGCAACTTTATAACAGTGGCGTCATGAATTGCCCAGTGGTTCTAGCAAAGCTTCGCTGGTTCTACCGAATAACTGGAAATTGAATATTTTTGGTAATGCTTCCAGCCATACAAAATCCCATTTTTGGGGAGATGCTTGAGTGCAGCCAGCAAAAACAACACCTACACAAGATTTGGTAGGTTCCCCAAGCTCTACACGAGACTTTGGAAGATTCTGCAAGCAAACAGTAGTCTTTTGTAGTAGTTTCCAAGGTCATGGAACTTGTGTAGCCACCCTTGCATTAAATATGGCTACAAGTTGTTGATGGTGACCAAAACAGCATTTCTAGTTAGTTTTTAACAGGATTTTCAGCCTCTGGTTAGTATTAAATGGTACTGTTCCAGGAGTCAAGTTTACTTCCACATCTTCGCCACCCAACCCTTTCTAGTGAAGTCAAGCAGCATCGCAAGCACCAAGCTTCGCTGGAGCGAATGCCTTGCTTCACCGGTGTAAATGCCTCGCTTCGCCAGACAAACAGCGTTCACCCATCTATGTCTATCAAGCCACTACCCCCATAGTTTATCCCAAGTAATTCACATGAACTTGGATTCATGGGCTTGTATTTATTTGTAGTAACAGCAAGGCATATGTGAATATATGTTTAAATATGTAAGAAGAAGAAATATATAAATATATGCAACAAAGAAGGAAACTCCCTTGTGTGTTGAAAGGGACTATGTGGATGAATATTCACTACTCTCATTTGTTTGCTGACCATGGCCAACACCAGTATATTCCTATTGTACATGGTTGGAATTGCGCTAGAATAAGGAACAAGTGATATAGGTGTATACTGC